GAAGTTGAGAATAAATTGGGATATCCAATAGTGTCTAGTATTAGAAAGAGTGAAGAACCGATTAAAGTGTTAGAAATTGAAAAGGCACAAAGTAAAATTAGTGAAATAGTAAACAAATTGTCAGTGCAGTTTAAGAAAGTGTTTGAGCCAGGCTTAGGCCATTGTACGAAAATGAAGGCTCATTTGTATATGAAGCCAGGAGTGAGTCCAGTATTTGTACGGGCTAGACCAGTACCTATTGGCGTTAAAGACGCAATTGAAAAAGAGTTAAACAGATTGAGTGAAATTGGAGCTATTAAGCCAATTGAATTTGCTAACTGGGCAGCGCCCATTTTAGCTATTAAAAAGGCAAATGGCAAAACAAGAGTGTGTATAGATTATTCAACCGGGTTGAACAATGCAATTGAATTGGATAGGCATCCTTTGCCAAAGCCTAGTGAAATATGGGCTGAGATCCATGGAAGTAAAGTGTTTTCGCAATTGGATCTCAGAGATGCCTATTTACAAATTGAGTTAGACGAGCAATCTAAAAAAGTGGCGTGTATTAATACACACAAAGGATTGTTTGAAGTGCAAAGATTGCCGTTTGGAGTGAAATCAGCACCAGGAATATTTCAAAGATTAATGGATAAATTGATAAGTGGAATTCCTGGAGTGTTTGCATATTTAGATGATTTAATAATAGTGTCTAAAAATATTGAAGATCATAAAGTGCAATTGTTTGAGATATTTGATCGAATTGAAAAGTGGGGATTAAAAATCCAGTTAGAAAAATGTAATTTTTTTAAAGAAAAATTGAAGTTCTTAGGCCATATTGTATCCAAAAGTGGAATTGAGCCCGACCCTGAAAAGAAAAAGAAAATTAGTGAATTAACACGTCCAAGAGATGTTAAAGAATTGAAATCTTTTATGGGTACAATTAATTATTATGGGCGGTTTGTTAGTGAAATGCATAAATATAGAGGGCCATTGGATAAATTGCTTAAAAAAGAAGTGAAGTGGGAGTGGGGCCAAGATCAGGAACAGGCCTTCCAAAGTGTAAAAAAAGTACTAAATTCTGACTTAATGCTAACGCATTTCGATCCAGATTTAGAAATAGTAGTGACAGCTGATGCATCGAATTATGGAGTGGGTGCAGTGATATCACATAAATTCCCAAATGGAAAAGAAAAAGTGATTGAATATGCGAGTAAGTCATTGAATGATGCAGAGAAGAATTATAGTCAAATTGAAAAAGAAGGCCTAGCATTAGTGTTTGCAGTGCAAAAGTTTCATAAAATGCTATTCGGCCGAAAGTTCATATTGAGAACGGATCATAAACCGTTATTGGCCATCTTTGGCAAAAATAAAGGAATCAAAGTGTTCTCTGCATCGAGATTACAAAGATGGGCATTATTATTGACAAATTACGATTTTAAAATCGAATTTGTAAGTACAAATCAGATGGGTATGGCTGATACATTGTCAAGATTGATAAGTGAAAAAAGTGAAGTAGAAGATAAAGTGATTGCATTAGTGGCAGAAAGTGAAAATTGTAGTAATGAAGATTGTTGTGAGGACTCATTGTTAGTGGAAGAGTCAGTTAAATATGTATTAAACATAATGTTGGATGAAGTGCCAGTGAATGCCGAACAAGTGAAAAGTGAGACAGAAAATGATAGTGAATTAAAAATGATTAAACAATTTATTAGAAATGGGTGGCCAAAAGTAGTGGGTGATCCGACATTAAGTATTTGGTCGAACAGAAGACAAGAATTGGAAGTGATTGATGAGTGTATTATGTGTAGTGGAAAAATAGTGATCCCAAAAAATTTGAGGAAAAGTGTATTGAAAGTATTACATGAAACACATCCGGGAAGTGCAAAAATGAAAGGAGTTGCCCGGGAGTATATGTATTGGCCAAACATTGGTAGAGATATTGAAAATTGGGTCGCAAATTGTATAATGTGCCAATCAGCGGCAAAAAGACCAATTAAAAGTGAATTGCGACCATGGCCAAATACAAATAGAAATTGGGAAAGAGTGCATATTGATTTTGCTGGGCCGTGTAAAGACAGAAAAGTGTATTTTATTGTAATTGATGCACACTCAAAGTGGCCGGAAGTGTTTGAAAATATGACAACCTCAGCAAAAGATGTTATAAAGTGTTTTGAGTGGCTGGGAACCCATTACGGGTACCCAGAAACAATAGTGTCTGATAACGGAAGCCCATTCCGTTCAAATGAGTTTAAAGTGTATTGTCAAAATAAGGGGATTAGTCAAGTATTTAGTGCCCCATATCATCCACAATCCAATGGGCAAGTGGAAAGATTTGTGGATTATTTTAAAAGAATGATGACAAAAAATTCTAATAAAAAGAATTGGCTCAGTGAAGTGTTATTGTTTTATAGAGCCAGTCCTCATGAATCATTGGAAGGTAAATCTCCGAGTGAAGTGTTTCTTGGAAGAAAATTGCGATTGAACTTAGCGAGGTTAATACCAAAAAAAGTGACCTTCCAAGAAAATAAAGTGAAAACACCTCAACAAGTGAAAATGAAAAGTTGGTTTGATAAACACCATGGAGTAAAAAACCGAAAAATCGGTAAGTTAGTGTATTTCTTAAATTACCGAAAAGATGGTAAAATTAATTGGTTGAGTGGTGAAGTGGAAAATAAAAGGGGAGTTATCTATAAGATATACTCGCCAGTGTTAAATGCCGTAGTAACTCGGCACGAAAATCAAATTAGAAATAGAAGTTTAAGTGAAGATTGTAATATTTTGTGGAAAAGTGAAAGTGTAAGTGATAGTGGATTAAAAAGAGTTGATAAACCACATAAATATGGTTTGAGAGAAAGTATTAGACAGCCTCAAAAATTAGTGCTGACTAAGGAAAGTGTTAAAAAGTATGCTGAAGAGGCTATAAATTATCCAGTGAAATTAGTGAGACCAAGAGTAGTGTCAAGTACAGTGGGAACAATTCAAAGATGAAAGATGTTGAAGACGATAATAATATGGAGATGTAGATGAGCCACATATATAAAATTTTGTGATAATATTGTTGTTGTATATTTTTGTAATGTTGTATGTATTTTTTGTTCCCATTGTCCTTATCCCCCAAAATTATTGTATGTATTTTTTGTTTGTTGTTTGGCTGGAAAGTGTTAGTATATTGTAAAGCTTCGGCTTTAAGTGAAGCCGAACCTTTTTTTCAAGGGGGGAGGTGTTGTGTATGGGCGTCAGCCCTTGAAGTGTTTAGTATAAAAGCCCAGCCAATAGTTAGTTCTCGTCTCAGTTTTAGTTCTTCTTCCTACCCCAACCTTCGCCTGCTTTGTATTTCTTTGTGCAATAAACGTTTCTGTTAGCTTCCTCTACGTAACCGGGGTCGTAACAATTGGATAGAGAATCAAAAGCTCTACAAAATATCAAAAAATCAGAGTTTTTGACCGATTGATAAAAAAGTTATGATCTAAAAGCTAACTTTTTCAAAAAAATCTGATTTTTCGGCACTTTATCGATCATAACTTTTTTACCAGTCGGTAAGGAATTTTGATTTTTTGGTATATTGTAGCCTATTTAATGCCCTATCCAATGGTACCAAGAGTAACAAAAAGTGACCATCCCTTGATAAGTTATAGGGTCCGGGACTCAATTGAGTCGGGACTCAATTGAGGTGTACCGCCTTCCTCACAGCATCTTAAAATAGGCAGAGGCTGTTACTCGCCTTTCAGTGCGGGAATATGGCTTAGTTGGTTAGTGCGCCCACTTTAAAGCGAAATATGGGGGAGGTTCGAACCCTTCCAGTGAAAATGAATTATATAATAAGGAAATCCTAATAATATCTTTTCTAATAACATCTAATGTCATTTTAAACTAAAATAAATTTTTTCAAAATAATTTTTTACTATTATTTTCCATTTTTAAATTTAGTTACAAACCCATGGTTAACTTTTTTTAAACATGGTAAAAATCAATAATTTTGGTTTTAAAACGAAGATAAGACTTTGTTTCATGATTTGGGTTGGATAAAATTTTGCTTTAAAAGGAGTTTTTTCGAGATTAAGCTTCTCGAAATTGCAACCCCCAAATCTTTAGAAAATAGCACGCGAAAGAAATAGTGGGGAAAAGAAAAAGATACAGTATTTTTATTTATTTCAGTGCCACTGAAACGGCTAAAAGTAACAGGTTAAGATGCTGTGTTCCTCTGATGGCTCCATGACAATTGTACAGTGGGACAATTGTACAGTGAGACAATTGTACAGAAGACAATTGTACAGTGGACAATTGTACAGTATTAAGAGCTTTTTAAAAAAATTTAATGTTAACCCAAAGCATCGAAAACTTATGATCAACAATAAATTTTTTAATTTTATTATATATGTACAACATGGGCAGGTTGTTCCAATGACGGAACGAACATCAATTTGTTGAATTGATAAGCGAAGTGGGTGATCAGTCGTGTGAGTCTTAATTACTTAATTTAAGCTTGATGCTAAACTCTTTTATAAAATTTAAAATTTAATTTTAGAATTTAATTTTTAAACCTATAAAATGTGAGTCCGCAGCTACGGGTAATCATCGGGTTCTGGGTTAATTTTTCTGGAATAAGAGTTAACCCTCAGCTCGGGGTTCTTTTATCCGAGTAAGAGAACTACCCGCTTCTTAAAATACGGCCCCAGAAGAGTGATCAAACGAAAGCGATAAACGACCGATATTAATCACCTTAGTGATAAATCAATACTCCCCTTAGAGATTAATTGATTAATCGATCACTCTCTCGGTTGATTAATTGAAAAATTTGATCAAAATAAGCTTCCCCGTCATTGAACAACTTCCTCATGTTGTATAATAAAATTTAAAAAATTTAGTGTTGATCATATGGTTTTCGATATTTTGGGTCATATTTCTTACTTATTAGAGCAAAATTAAATTTCTTTTTAAAAAGCTCTGAATATTGTACAATTGTCCACTGTACAATCGTCCGCTGTACAATTGTCTCACTGTACAATTGTCCCACTGTACAGTTGTCGTGCCACCCCTCTGATTCTTACTGACATTTTGTCCACTTTTCTATTTATTGGCATTTTGTCCATTCCCTTCTTTTGGTGTTTTGTATTTCGCATGTTTAAATTTTTGTCTCTCAAAACACCATTATCTATATTTATTTTCATTTCTCTACCATGTTTGATAAAAAGTGTCTCTTTCCGCATTATTTCTCTATAGCTTATATCGGGTACAGCCCTTTTAGGCGCGCGCCCATGAAGGCGCAATGCCATAATTTGGTGGAAAATTTCTGATTTTTATCAATTTTGGTACCAATCTCTTTGTCTCGATGAGAGCAATCGTTTAAAGCTAAATTTGGTAAGATTCGGAAATTTTCCAGCAAGTTATGGCTAAGCGCCATTATAGCCTCGCGCCGACGTGTCCCCCTTATATTTTCGTGTTAGACCAGTCGATTCTTCTCAAACATCAAAAGGAGCGGCGGCGTTTTCTCTTTTGGGTGTGTTTTTGTTGCGCATTTTGGAATGTTTTGAGGGCTTTATTGAATTTATTTTTTAATTTTTAGGTTTTTTATTGGCCAAAATTATTTTTTAAATTAGAAAAAAAAATGAAGCTTCGCTCAAAAACTTGTAATACTTCTTCTTCAAGACTGTCAGTTTCTAGCCAAAAATCGGTTGTTAATTCGCCTAATAAAGATGGAAACATTAAAACTGGGACGAGGTTAGCTTTAATGTGATATTTTTGTTTGGATTTTATGGAGGGGGAGGCATTTATGTTTGGTGGGGGCTAACTCAAGGAACAGACAACTCAAGGAAATGACAAGTTATGAACATACCAACTCATGGAATATTTTAAAAAATTAGAATTTTTTTTAAAATATTCTATGAGTTGGTCGTTCTTTGACTTGTTTTTTCCTTGATTTGTCTTTTCCTTGAGTTAACCCGACACGATTTATGTTTGCGATAATTTTAAGATTTTTGATTCCTACGGTTACAAAATCTCATTTTTTTCTATTTTTTTAATTTACAAAACTTTTAGTGTCTATCAATGGGATTTAAATATTTTTTGTTTTAAATCTTGTCAAAATCTGGATTTTCTAGTTTCTTTTTAAATTAAATTTTTTAAAAATATTTTTACTTGTGTTTGTGCCTATAGAAATAATTTGAATAAAAATTAAACCTGTCACTGGGTTGTACGATAAAATAATTGTGTTTTGGAATCTTTTCTATTTTTTATTTTATCAAAAGTAGGGTTGGGAGCCCGATCGGGCCCGGTCCGAGAGATCGAGTCGGGCATTGAATTTTGGCCTGAAAGAGCCTCAGTCGGCCCGAAAAAAAGACTCGAAAAAATGCAGCCCGACTCGAAAACTCCAACTCTAACCAAAAGGACTTATTATTTCTTTCTCAAAATTTTTTTAAAATTTCAGGCAGGAACACCAAAAAGACGAATTAATTTCCTCACTTCCCTCCACTTCAAAATCTGCCCCTCAGCTTGCTTCAACACCCCTTTCAATTTATGGAACTAGGAGGAGTAGCACAGCCTCTACAGAATTCTCACCTGACTCTCCAGGCTTTGGAAGAGTGGCGAAAAGCAATGCTCGTCTTTTGAATGGTTTTTTTAATTTTTTCTTTGTTTTTTAGGATTGGATTGGGCATTAAAAACGAAAAAATTGGTAAACCTTTGGTGCTCAAAACTAAAATTTTTTCCTACTTTTAGAATTATTTTTAAATGCCGGAGGCAAAATTTCAGTAATTTTGTAGGGAACGAAAACGAAAATATTCACCTTAAACGAAAATATTCACTGCAAAATCAACATTTATAAAGAAGAAAATTGGGAGATTCCGAGGCATAAGGGAATAAAAAAAGATCAGTCTAATAGGGGTGGGGCGGGATATTATAATAAAGCACCAAAATTTTGATTAAAATCCATTTAGAATAATTATTTCAGTATTTTTGAGTTGAAAGAAAATTTTTAGATTTTTTAAATTTTCTTAAAGGCCTCTAAAATCTTAAAAACAAACCAAAATTTATTATTTCTCCAATTTTCAGGACTTGATTTAACCAGAAAAAGCAGTGGAAGCTCTTCATATTTGGGCACAGCTGTAGTTTTGCCAGAATTAAAAACATTCGAACTTTCTGAGAAATGTTCAACACTTTCAAAACTTTTAAAAACTTGTGGAAATGGAGTTTCTGATTCTGCTAGGAAATTGGGGGTTGAACAACAATTGGTTTGGAATTTTTTTTTAATAAAAATAATAGAAATTATTTTTCTATTGGTATCCCCAAAATCTTTTCAAAATTTTAATTAAAAATTTTGAGATTTTAAATCGATTTTTAATAAAAAAAGTTTTTCGAATTTTTTAATTCAAGGAAAATTATTAAAGTAAATTACACCTTACAAGGAACCCTTTCGAACGTAAGTCATGATGTTGTACTTTTTTGATACCAATCAATAGAGCATTATTGATTTACTCTTGTAGATTTCCGGCTTTTTTAGCTAGGAATATGAACCTAAAAAGTTACAGGGCTTCAAAGTTTGCCAAAAATGTGGGAGAAAAGGAACACAAGAGGTCAGGTCCGTAGCCAGGGGGGATCCAAATTTTCAAAATTTTCCACCGAAAAAAATTCTGGCTACGGTCCTGCAAGAGATTCTTACAGTTCGAAAGGTTTCCTTGTTAGTTTTTAGAAAATAAGTTAGAAAATCCTTTTTAAATTATTCTTAAACAGAATTTTTTGTCTAAATTAGGACCTAACCTAAAATAATAATAAATAATTTTCGGAGTTCTTTGAGTCTTCTAAAAAATTTTTTTCGCTCTCCAATAATTCAAAAATTTTTAAAAATATTTTCTAAAATTATTTTTTTTCTAAATTTTAGGAAATTTTTTATTTAAATTAAATTCAATATTTGCACTTAAAATTTCCTCTCATTTCCAGACAATTTTAAATAATTTTTATTAATTGATTGCTTACGCTTTTTTAAATAAAAATCGAAGGAAACGTTTCATTCCCCCCCAATTTTTTGCCATTTTTCTTTTTTTTTTTTAAATTTTCTATTAAAATTTAAAAATTATTTTTATTTATTCCGAGGGTTTTTTAAAATTTATTTTTCAAAAATTCATTATGGATATATTGGTGAAGATTTTTAAATTTGTTTTTTTTTAATAATTGAAAGTTTTTTTAAATTTATTAAAGTCCCTAACGATTTTTAAATTAAAAATTTTTATATGGGAACTAAAGATCGAGATTTTTGAAACGTCTGAGTCTGTTCCTGGACTTTGGCGTTTGATTTATTGCCCTGGGCCGGATCCTGGTCTGTAATCCAGGAAAACCCCAGGAAAGTCAAAAAATGCCTGGACCTGGACTGTGGGTACAGGAAGTTCAGACCCAGCTCGATCTCTAATGGGAACATTTTTTAAATAATTAATATCCCCTTTGATCTCGAAGAATTTTGAATTTCTTCTATTCATTCCCTTTATTCAATTAAAAATTATTTTTCCTTTACAATTCTTTTATTTTTTAATATTTAATTTTTTTCTAATTCCTTTCAATCCTTTATTTTTCCAAAATCCAATAAAATATCCCCAAAATTATACCGCATATTTATTCTAATAGAAGGGCCCCTCCAATAGAATGGCCCCTGTTTGGGGGTAATAAAAAATATAATTGTGGCCATTCTATTAGAATAAATATATTTTTGACTTGCTAACCTTTTGGGAGCTTATTTTTTTTAATTTTTAGACATCTCTTCAATTCGAATTAGAAGAGCTTTGTGCCCAAAATATAGATTATCAGAGCACAATTCACGGAGAAATAACCTATTTAACAACAGGGGAATACCCAACAGTTAATTTACAAAATCGTCCTTTGCCCATATTTTGTTGTGTTGGGAAGGAGGAAATGCAAAAATTGGCAGAACGAGTAAAAAGATCTGTCCCAACACCAACAACATCTATGAGGTTTTTAATCGGGGGGAATAGGAGGGGGGGGGGTTGCCTAGATTTTTGGTCGGAGAACTGACCATTTAAATAGTCAAAAAAATTTTTTTAAGAACCTAAAAAACTGTCGAGACCGGGCTCATTCGATAGAGAATGTGCCCTTTCTAGCAAGGATTTTGAGCCGTTTTTGCCCGTTTTTTGATTTGGCCGAGATATGACCCTCCAAAGTCCCAAAATTTGGTTGTCAGAATTAAGAATTATATAAATAATAAAAAATAAATTCTGAAAATATTAAAAAATATTAAAATTCATTATGTCTTGAAATTTTTACACAAAAATAAAGAAAAAAATATTTTATTTTTTACTAGTAGCCTACATTAAAAGTTTAGCCTAGAAAACCATCTTTTCTCTTTTTATATTTAGCTTTAGTTCTAGAAAGAAATAAATTGTGGGCTCTTCTTAAGTTTTATTTCTGACAGAAGAAATGTGGGCGCGTGGCGCAACGGATAACGCGTCGGTCTACGGAACCGAAGATTGCAGGTTCGAATCCTGCCGTGCTCGAACAATTTTTTAATGTTTATTTAAGCTTCTACAAAGTTTAGAAAAATTATTTTTACAATTTTTTTGATCCAAAAAATTTTTATTTTATGTCTAGACCTGGGAAATATTCAAAAATTAATTTTTTGATAAATAATTTTTTATTTTTTTTCAGTCTAACCGATCTTGGCATTTTTTCTTCGCCTGAAGATGATGAGACTCCACATATTTTAGATGTTCCGCATCGCTTTTGGACTTGGGCTAAAGAGTTTGGAAATTAATTATTTTTATTTTTAAACTTTAATTTAAGGTATTTACGACATATTTCTTTGGATTATGTGAATGAATACAAAGAAAAAATGCTTGATCGCTTCTCAGAAGAAAATATTATTGGAAATTATTGTTCGCAAAATATTGAAAAAGGCGGTATAAAAATTTTAAAATTTTTTTGGGAATACAATCGAACCTTCTTCTTAGATATCCATGAAATTAGTACACCTTTATATTACTATATTAGATCCGTCTTTAAAATTAGTGGTAGGGAGGGGGCTGAGGGGGGTATCAGGCTAACAAGGGAATATTCCTAACTGTATGTAAAAATTTTGAAAAATTTTTTGCGCCCATCGTGTAGAGCAGGGTCGATAACCTATTGCAAGTTTTTGGTTTCTTTCCTCATGGCAATAGGTTTCTTTCCTCCTGCTCTACACGATTTTACAAAAAAAAATTTTCGAAATTTTTACAAGCAGTTTGGAATGTTCCCTTGAAGACAAAGTCCGGAATCCAGACAAAACACAGTCCAAAGAGAAAAACATCTATTGGGGGGTTATTTGGGCGCGACGGATATTGACTTAAATACTTGAGGCGAACTGCAATAAAAATTCAAAATATTTTTTAGCTTCCACTTCATCTACTTCCCAACAACAATCTTCAAAATCTCTTCCCAGCATAACTTCAGCAATTTCTGAAAAATCTTCAAAAAAGCGAAAAAGAGTTTTATCAACTAGTGAATCTTCTTCTGAGTCATCTGCCTCAATTTGTATAACTCCGTTAAAAAATTTTTATTCCGAAAGAGGGCCGAAAGGACGTTTTAAAAAGCGAAGTGATTCTTTCAAGTCCAATGAGGAAATAACTACACCCTCTTTTGAACAAAATTTTAGAGGAAGAGCAATTTCGTTTCATGTTGGAAGTAATAAATTAGAGAAAGGACCAAGTTTGTGATTTTTATTTTTTATCTCAGAAAAATAAAAAGGGGTTTAAAGGGTTCTTAAAAAGGGGGTTAAGGGGCCCTCTCCGTGACCGCTTTAGTGATGTTCTCGAATTTTATTTGGGTTAACGCTCACGGAGAAAATTTTGGGAGCAGGGGGAACTGACCGAGGGGCCAAGATACCGCCGAGCTTTAACTTTTTTTAAAGATTTTCAAATCCTGGACGCGCTGGTATGTTTCATTGCAGCTCGGCGAGCTGTTTCGAAGCATACCAGGTCGTCCCGGATTTGACAATTTTGAATGAAGTTATAGCTCGGCAGTTTTTACTCTGCGGACTTGGTCTCGCGTTACGTTTGGGGTAATCGAAAATTTTTGCTTAAGGTCCTCCAAAAATTTTCCCCGTTCAAAATTCCAATTTTCACTTCTAAAAAATTTTTTTCAGCCTCAAAAGCTTTGTCTTCCTCGCAAAAAGAAATACTTGTAGATATTGACTGTTCTTCTCTAATTACACCTAAACTTGTTCCAAATGGATTACATCCACGTTTAAACAGTTTAAATAAAAATACAAATTTAAGTAATGGAATTATAGGCAACAAATCACCACAGAATGGAGGAAAACAACAAAAACAATTGAGAAAAGAAACTCCAATAATTAAAAAACAAAAATTAAAAAATAAAATTTTTGGGAAAACTGAAAGTAATTTAAAAAATTGTTTTAAATTAATGAGTGAAGAAGATGATGATTTTGATGAAGAGGAAGAAGATAAAGAAGAGGTTGTTGTTGAGGAGGAGGAAGAGGAAGAAGGTGAATTGATGGAAAAATCAATGAGGGGAGTTAATGGTAATAATGGGACAAATGATCGGAAGCAATGGACGAAATCATCGACGGCGACAACTTCGAATGATAAAGACGTTTGGATTTTATTATTATTTTGTGTTTAAAGGAAAAATTAAAATTGGACCTTTTTTGAAATTAGACCAAAAATTAAAATTAGACTTCCCCCAAAATTTATACCTTTTTAAAACCCTATTGAGGCTTGAAAATTATCCTGATATTGAAGGGTAACCCCAAAATTTAGAAAAAATCTGAATTTGATGTGTTTCTAGAAGGATTGGGAGGGAGGGGGAGGGTAGATAATAACGGAGTTTGATTATATGTTAGATTTGGTTAATAGGGTTAGTCCCCGACGGGGAGGTGGAAAGCCAAGGGGAAAGTTTTTCGAGAAGGCAGCGCTACAGGGGAGAGGACGGGGAATTTTCAAAAAATATTTCAAATTCCCCGAATTTCGAGGACGGGGACCGACCCTATTGGTTAATAATCCAAAACATTGTTTCTTGTTTTGTCTTTTATTCTAAATATTTTTTAAAAATTTCTGGGTTGTCAGTTGAGGAGATTTTCAAACAATATTTACCAAATTAAATTTTTTTCTCTAAAATTTTAGCCAGACAACGAAATTTCTGTTTTGCTACGAAAAAAGCAAGAACGCCTCCGTGAATTATTTTATAAAAGTCGACCGACTATAGAAACGTTGTATGCTCGTGTGTTGAAAGAATATGCAGTCCATGAAGCTATACATAAAATGGATGAAGCTGATAATAAGGTTTTTCTGGAAATTAAAATTTTTTTTGGGCTTTTCCGAGGGGTTTTAAATATTTTTTCTTGACTTTTTTTAATAAATTGAAAAAAAATAAATGGGCAATATCACTCAAATTAGTCACCTTCACCTATTTTTAAGTCTGATTTTATTTGGCGCTGGTCTAGTTTATGTGTCCTATTAGAATAAAATGGGATTTTTCTCGGTACCCAACTTTGTAATACCAAGAAAAATCAAATTTTATTTTGATTGGGCGCATAAAAGTTTATTGGAAACATAATCTAGATCAGCGCCTTTTATTTTCATAAGTCGGTCTTATATTCCCTTTTTGTTTTAAATTTAAATATTTTTTGAATCAATTATTTTTTGTGGGTTATATGGGAAATAAATAACCATTCACTGAGACTATTTCGGATACTCGAACTCGATTCCTTGTTCAATTCCATTTTCTTTAACTTTCTGATTCCATTTTTGCTTTATTTTTCTTAAATTGGGGGTGTCGGTTTCTAGCGTTTTTTCGGTTTCTAACGTATTATATGCAGGTTTGGTCCGAACCGAAGAATTTTGGGCGCTGGCCCAGTTTATGCGTCCATTCAAAAGAAAATTGGATTTTTCTTGGTGTTGCAAAGTTGGGGTCCAAAACATTTCTTCATATTCGGGACCTATGCCCACTTGGTCTGGGACCATTTCTTACCCTATCCTTTGAAATTTCTGAAGGTTAAAATCGTTTTTCTGATATTTTTAAAAATTGCCTATGCATTATTCCAAAGTTATAATTTTTTCTAATTTTCACATTTAATTTTACAGCTTTACAAAATCGCTTCAAAATTTGAGAACACTACAACTTCATTAAATCATGAACAAAGACAAGAAATGCAAGCAGCATTAAAAGAGCATAATATTCATTATGCTTCATTTCATGGACTTAAAAAGTGAAAAAGGAAAGAGAAAAAGTTGCAATTTCTTTAAAAAAATATCAGTGCTTTCTATATTTCAACGAGAGAGATTGTTTTTTAAAGACATGAAATTTGAATATATTATTGTGTTTAACGTGTTTTCTTTTTATTTATAAAATTAGGATATTGCCAGCCAATTATTATTTTTTTGTTATTATTGAGGGGAAGCCGGGGGTGGTTATTCCGTGTTGGCAACAATGTGTTGTGTAGTGGTGTCACTATAGTATAAAAGCCAGTGAAAGCGTCAGTCTAGTTGGATCATACTAGGGAGGCTAGTCACTGATCTCGTCGTCTGTTCCAGCTCTTTCCACCTTCGTCTTCATTGTATATACACTTCAACTTTAAACAATGAATAAACTGTTATTCTTATGCACGTCGACATTAGTTAAATCTCGGAGAACCTCCGGTTGTAGCAAAATGGCTAATTTAATTAAAAATCCTTAATAATACAGGCACCAAAGGATTGTTTTTAAAAAAATTTATTTAATTTCTGACTTGTTCAGATGGAGAAGTTTCTAATGAATAGGGTTGGTCCCCGACGAGGGGGGGGGGGCACGGGGAACAATTTTCGGGAGGGGAGTGGGGGCACGGGACCAACCCTACTAATGAGACTATAACAAATTAGAGATTAAAGAATATTTTATTCTCAAAAAATAAAATCCAAAAAATGTTTTCTAAATTAAATATTGCCTTTAAACAATTTCTTTTGTAACAATTCTGCTTACAATTAAATCGCTCATCGAAATTCCATTAACATCTAATTCTGGCAATTGATAAATCTGAAAAAATAAATTGGAATAATTTCGGAATACTAAACAGACTACGATTGGGACATATTATATGTCATTCGACTCAGCTCGGCGAGCTGAGTCGAATGACATCAAAAAATCGATTGGGACGTAACTATGGGCCGAGATACAGGGCTCGAAATGGTCAAAAACCATAGGTGGGGGGTTGAGGTCGTTTTGGCGCCGGGCCGTTTTGGCGCGAAAACAAAAAGTGGCACTTAGGCGAGACCTAAATTTATAAAATTTTTCTCGAATTTCTTTAACATCCTTGACTACCTCCTCCAGAAATTTCAGAATTTTTCGTCGAATATTTCCGAAGTTATAGTCGATAAACCTCGAAAAATTAGGCATTTTGCAGAAAATCAACATTTTTGGCCACAATTTTTGAAATTCTTGATCAAAAATTCTGAAATTTTTGGAGAACTTAGATAAAGGCACGAGAGTTATTATTGCAAAATTTTATCATTTTTGATAAGAAACTCGCTATCTTATAAGCTCGCGCCAAAACGGCCCCGCGCCAAAACGGCCCAGTCCCTAGGTGGGACCAAGCACTTTTTTGGGGTGAAAAATTCGAAAATGTAAATAATAGCTCATTTGAAAGAGCTCTTCAAGCTGAGTCGAATGAGATCAAAATCAGCGAAATCCGATTTGATTAGCCAAAAAACTCCAAATTCCCAATTAACCTGTTTAATCAACCCCAAATCAGAAATTTCTCGAAGTAATTCAAAAGACACAGGTGTGCCTTTAATCCTTTTAGCTATTGATATCATTTTCTTTCCTTTAACATCATCAAAAATAGCAACAACAAGGGATTGGCTATTTTCGGCTATTCCAAAGGCTGAAAAATTTTAATGAAAAAAATTTAATTATTTTTAAAAGGGAAAAATATTTTTGTAAATATGTAAATTCTTTTAATTTTCTCTAAATTTTTTGAATTAAATTCAAAAAATTTCTTTTAATTTTTGAATGTTCATTCAATAAACTATCAAAAATTAATTTGGTTAACGAACGGTTTTAGATTAATCCAAAAATTTTAAATCTTTTAATTTAAGCTTTGGTATATACTGGATTTAAAGGACGTAGTCAAGGGGTCGATTTCAGGGGGCTAAAATGGTTTGTGTCCCTAATGCTAATTTTATTGCGCACATATTGAAGGTCGTAAGCGAAAAAATTTAATTTTTCCTATCATCTTTCTCTCGAGTTATTGCATCATAAGTCCCCCTCCCCCCGTTACGTCCTTTCTGGATTTATTTAGGTCAAAGCAAGAAAAAAATTTATTAATTTTTAATTAGAATATAAAAAATTAGATTTAAAAAATTAAATATTTTTTTTGCTTTGACCTAAACAAATCCAGCCAGACGCTGAAACAAAATACAGATTTAAAACCTTTTAAGGCCAAAGCAGTGATCAAAACTGGGACTTGATGAGAAATTTAAAAAAAACTAATAATTTCCAGAGATTATTAACCAATTAATTTTTTCTTGGGAAATAAAAAAAATTTTCCAAATTTAAACCCTCTGAATTTTTAAAAAAAAAATCCAAACTATTTAAAGAATCAGAAATATTTCGATTTGGAGACAAAGAATAAATTAATTCTGCACTCAGAGAGCGTGTAATCATTCGATTATGGGCTGCCTGATGGACTGCTCTATTTGCTGCGGCTAATAACACAAAGGGTTCGAGAAGCTTAAAAAATTTTTTTTGAAAAAATTTTTTGAAATTTAAATAGAAACCAATTCTGCACGAATTAGGGCTGCATCAATTTCGCCTTTTCTAACAAATTCTCTCAGTTCAGAAGCATTTTCAACATTTGTAAACTTGAAAAAAAACAAATTTTAGTTGAAGAAGAAAGGCCCATAAACTCAAAATACGGGGCTCTGAGTCAGGGTAACCCTTTCCAAACCACTAAAATAAAAAAATACCACTAAAAACCACTAAAACTCAAAAATGTGGCAAAAATAAGGCAAATGTCCTGCAAATAGGGTAAAAGGGTTACCCTGCTCTGAGTATAAGAAAAACTAGGGGAAAATCGCAAATTTGGGGATCCCCTGACTCAATTTCTTCTAAAATATCTAAAGGGACAGTACTCCCACGATTAATGACGTTAATCCCGTTTTTCGACTAAAATCCCTTACAGTCTCAAGAATTGGCGGTAATACTTCGGTTTATGCCCTCTTTTTTCGGATACACCCCAACCTGTAGCGAACCCAACCTACCGCCGAGGCTATAACTTCGTTTTAAATTGTCGAATCCGGCACATCCTGGTATGGTTCGATTCAGCTCATCGAGGCGCATCTAACCATACCATGGCGTCCCGAATTCAACAATTCTGAACGGAATTATAGCCTCGGCGGTAGGGCTACCCCCTTTTTTCTGTTCTATTTTTTAATTTTCTATGACAAATTATATATTCATTCGAAGTGCTGAGTCGAACGGCACTAAAATCATCGAAATCTGATTTAATCTGACTTAAATATGAGCACCTGTTTTAACCCTTTTCGAATGATATAATAAATTATATGTCAAGCAAAAAAGCTCAAAATGGTCAGGGAAACAAAAAAATAGAGGGGCGTAAGCCGAAGTATTACCGAATTGGTCCAGACTTAATTCGATAAAATTAAACAAACAAACCAAACAAATACGTAAAAACTTTGATTGTGTATTGTCGTAAGGATCAGGCTGAAGTTCAAAAAGTTTTGAAAGCCCTGTTTTCATTCCTTCAATAATTACTCTAAAAAATTTGAAATAAACTAACTGTGAAAATATGTAAATTGACAAATAATTGCTCAAAACTTGTTACATACTTTTTATTATTTTTATTAAGATTTTATGGTGGCCAAACCTTCGTCAATAAATCATGCGTCAATGAACTTGTGGGACACGCCCGAATAGGCGCGACCGAAAAAGACGCGACCGAATAGGCGCCGGCCGAATTGGCGTCAAGCTTTTTAATTAAATATTCTGATTAGTGACCGCCAAAATTATTTTTCCGGGCCCGGAATAACAGTATAGACAGTATAGGATGAATATATTCATGTTTCTGATTTTAGGTATGCCAGGGACTTCCAAACCTCTTGGTTTTGAATTGTGACTAACGACTTATTAGATTTTCCATTTTGGAGTGAAGTCTTGAAAAATTAGTCTCTGTCTTGAGGCTTAATTCGAGATTGAGGTTTGTCGCGATTGAAAAGTCAGAATAGGGTTCAAGAAAATATGAAATAGGCGCTAAAGCGTAATGGCGCTCAACTCATAAGAGCAAAGTATTCGAGAGAGAGAGATCAAAGCAAAATTTTTTTGCTAAGGTTAGTACATAATTAAACTTGCTAAAAATTAATAAAAAAATTTCAGCTGATTAAAGTTTGAATGCTTCTATTTATGTAAATTGAAAAAAATATTGGTAGGTATTTTACGCTCAGTTTGGTTCAAAATTATCATTAATTATTTTCATTAATAATTTATTGATAATTTTGAACCAAACTAAACGTAAACAACCTAAGTATTAGGGGTGCATCTCGTCTCGTATCTCGTGAAATCTCGTGTTTTTGGAGGTCTCGTATCTTGTATTTTGCCACGAGACACGAGATATTTTCAATCTATTTTAGAAAAAATGTCAAAAATTTGGGACTATTTTTAAATCTTAGAATTAAGAAAAAAGGAAGAAATCTTCGCCTCCTTATCGGGTGTCCATAGCTTCCGATATCACTCAAATCAGCTAACAACCTAAATAATCCTAAGGTATCTATTTCTCTAACTCTCTTTGATCCTTCCAAATCCCATGATATTCTCCGTAATCCCCCATATCGCAATAAATCCCCTCGATACTCTAAATCCCCAGTATCCTTCATAATACAGCTGTAATCATTATCCATTCAAACCCTTATATTTTTGGCTTTACAATTTTATGTATGAATAATTTTGAAATCAATTATTATTTAGTATCTCGGGTAATCGTGAAGAATTGGGGATACACTTTTAAAAACCTTAAAAATTATTATTATTTTCTGAAAATCATTTTATATAGGTAATCGACTATGCTGAGTTCAAATATGCAAGAATTTTTTTCCATGGACGAAAACTCGCAGAGATATAGGCTCCCGAAAATCGAAAAACCATAGGGGAAGTAAGGTTGATTTTGAGGTAAATAATTCGATTATACAAATTATAGCTCATTCGAAAGAGCTCATCGAGCTGAGTTGAATGACACCAAAATGAGCTCGATTGAATGATTCTGAACAAAGTTATGACCAACAGAATCTTAGCTGGAAATCAAATACATGATAAGAAAACATAGATAAAGTGTCATATTTGACAAAATCTGTTATCGGATTCGTGATCAGCATAGTCGATTACCTATATAAAATGATTTTCAGAAAATAATAATAATTTTTAAGGGTTTTAAAAGTGTATCCCCAATTCTTCACGATTACCGTATCTCGTATCTCGTGAAATCTCTTGTCTCGTATTTTGTGGCACGAGCTGCACCCCTGCTATGTATGTACTAAACTTTTTTCAATTTACATAAATAGAAGCATTCAAATATAAAGCAGATAAAGCAAAATTAAAATTCATTTTAAAATAAAATTAAATAAAAATATAATGAATTCCAACAAAAATATTTTTAATTTAATAATTTTTTTATTAAATTATTTTATTTTAATAAATATATTGGTTAAAGCTACTTCAAATGATTCTCAAATAGATAATGAAGATTATATAGCTTTACAGGAATTGTGTAACAAATTTAATGTTAGTCAAAAATTGGAGGATAATTATCGAAAAATAAATCAGAATTTTGGTAAATTTAATGAAAGCAGGGTACATATTCTTTTAAAATTTATTTTTAAATTCAAAATTAAACGAGGGAAGGTGTTTAGATACCGGGGTTGCGTCGTAATTACGAATTACGATTACGAAAATAAAAATTACGAGAAAATATTATTACAAAAAAACTCATCATGAAAATGAAAATTGGCCGAGATAATCCGGATCTAACGGAATTAATTATACAAATTTAATTTTACAAATTTTATAGACTGATAAAATTACTTAAATTCCTTTAAAGATCAAGATAGTAACATATATAGACAATTTTATTCGTCTTAAAATATTTCCGTTAGCAGCTGCTGCTTATGGTTCCGACGAAAATATTAATGAATGTCTTACACAAATATATTATGATTTTATAGTAATTATTTAAATTAATAAATGAAATAAAAGTGATAAACCTTTAGTTTATCAAAAGTTGGGTAGTTAAATGTCAAGGTGTAGATGCTTATTGTTCAGCTTTTACTGCTGTTTCTTTAAGAGACAATGCAATTCTTCTAGCATTTAGGTGGAAATATTTGTAGAAAATTATTAAAAATATTTTTATAAATGTTAAAGAGGTACTGACACATTTTGGCAATTGTCTCATGAAGTTTTGACGACTTTACTAGCACCAAAAGTTCTTTCGGTATTTGGTATTGGACATGTTTGTCGTAATTTTGAAATTTTTGTTAAATATCTTTTCAAGGTTGCTTTCTATTTCGATAATATTTTTACGCAGTTAGACAAGAAAGGTGTAACTGAAACGATCGTCGATCTTTTACGTGAATATCGGGGATTTGAACTTTGGGTTTGTTTAATTTATTTATTGTTCAGCTTAGTACTTTTTATGTTTTGTTTTATTTTGTAGACAATCTCAAATACGGTTTGCTTTTAAAATAGCCCCAGCCTCTAAATCTAATGAACCGTTTGTTGCATAGTTCGGTGCATATCGTATATACTGTATTAATTACCATGGGTAATTATTGTTTCGATCTCTCGCTGGAGGGGGGCAATTATTATTTCGAATTGTAATTTATTTTATCATGAAGATATGAACAATGATATACATTATGTTAATGAAAGTAGATAAATATTAAATTTTACTGATATTACATATACCCCTAATATTTCCATATACATAGAATATATCCCAAAATGGTACAATAGCACCAATGCTCCCTTCCTGGAATATACAAAGACACAATGAGCATGTATACAAGTACAAATTCTTTTACAAGTACAAATCCCCCTTACAAATCCTTTTATTCTCTGTATTAAATATTTTCAAAATTAGCTTAGGAAAAATAGGGAGTAATTATTCGAGGGAGGGTAATAAATAAAGTACATATATACGGTATTTTAGAAAATTTTGTACATATATTTTTTTATTAGTAGATATTTTGGGATTTTTTGTTGTATATATGTGCATATTTGGTGATTCTGCGTTTATACTTTGTCCCTGATTATAATCAAGCTAAATACATATTAGGTTAAAAAATATATTTAATAGATAACTGGCCATTCTTTGGGCGGAGCTTTGGCCGCACTTGCCGCAGCAAAATTAGTTCATATCAATGCAATCCCGCAGGAGAGAATTAAATTAGTGACTTTTGGGCAGCCACGAACAGGAGATAGTGGATTTGCAATGGGAATGGATAGAGAGGTGAAATTTCAGAATTCTTTATAACTATTTTATTACCTATAAGTTGTCATTCTTCAATTACCGTGTAGTAAGAGCTCGTGATTTAGTTGTTCATGTACCTCCACGAGTATTTGAAGATTATGCTCATTATAAAACTGAGGTTATAAATATAGTAGTATTTACTATTAATTTATTGAATTTAACTTTTAAGATTTTCTATGACAATGGGATGAAACCAGGTGATAAATGGATAAGATGTGTTGGGGGAGATGAAGATAAGGAATGCGCAAATAAATATGGGCAAGTTTTTAACTGACTATTTATCGGTATTTTTATAGGTGCTACAGTATTAGTTTATACTAAAAATATTATTTAAATAAAGTCGTATAAAATATAAGGCCAATTAAATCAAAAAAATTTTTTTAATTAGGTGTTCTTAAAATATTTATTAGGATGTGAAATTTTCACTTAATTTCATCAAACTTTAAATTTTTTACGAATGTTTTCAAAAAAGGGGTGGTACAAAATCATAAGACCAAGATTTCAATTCGTCATTTTTATAAGACGAATTGAAATCCTGTGCAGGATCCTGTCCTACGCCGACCTCTAATTAAAATCCCAAAATCAAGAGCAACCGGGATTACAGTACTACAAAAAATTTGAACTCTCTATATCTGAATAAAAATTTTCTTTTGGGCCCACTAGAAAGTCCACATAATTTGCTAAAAACACTTGGTCCTACTTTAGTAAATGTTAACGTGCTTTCTGTTTCAGTAATTTTGTTTATTCTGAACCCGAACAGAAAATCAAATGAAAATTTTAAGTTAATCATAATTAAAGTTTTACTATTAAACACAATAACAAAATTATATTTTTATTTATTTTTAAGTATTTATACAGTCAGTGATCACACAAATTATTTTGATAGAGATGTATCAAGCTATGGGCTGAGTGGATGCTATGGGGGATGAAAACAGAATAAATTAAATTTAAATTTTTTGGATTAATGTTATGAATTTAAAAATTAACTTTAACTCTGACTCACGGACAGAGGACACTCAACTATTTTTAAATATATTTTTAATTCAATATTCCCCAATAATGGGAAAAATTGTTTCAACAGCGTGGATTTTTATCAAATAAATAAATTTAATGAAAGTTGGTTTAATTCAGGGCTGCCATCTAGAAATGTTATGTGTAAGTACAAAAAGTTTAATTTGAAAGTACTTAGAGGGAAAAATTTTCAAAATATATGTACGCTCCAAAA